TTGTTCTATGTTGCTTCATGTTATCCATGATGCACATCAATATCGTTTCGCTATTTTAAATAGTTAAATTTGTTCATCAAATATAAATGTATATTCTGTTGAAAGGGAAGAAGCTACGCCAAACTGTAGTTAGAACTGCTTCCGTTTGGGGTTTATTTCTCGGCGCACATAATAACATGCATAACATATTTATTTATAAATAATACATACACATGCATTTGCATACAACTAACCTACGATGCATACAGAACATACATTATATATATACAATATACTATATAGAACAATATGTATATCTAACTAACGATCGTTAGATTAATTGATTGTGTACTCTCGTCGTGCCTATGTGAAACGAAAATGGAAAATGGAACAAAGCAGAAACTTCTTGTCCTCAACGTGCCTGACCTTATCCAACCCGTTCCTCCCTTGCCCCTCGCACGTCTGCCATGGAAAAGTTTATCAATCAGAAGGCAGTGTGCTATCAGTTTTATATAAATATGTTTAATTTTTTTTGTTTGTTGGTCATCGACCAGAGTGAAAGGTGCCACCTCCACTGCCTTGCCTTGGAGCAGTTATGCAAATTAGTCGCCTCATCTGCCGCTATAATTAATCAGTTGCACGCGCCACAACAACAAATGTATTCGCTTCTCTTTACATTTTATAAACATATATATTATGATTATTAATATTACGATAATTATTATTTTGTACATACTCGTAAAAATGCCTATATAAGTATATCACTTACCATATAAATCATATGCGAAAATCATGTAAATTGTTTATCATTATGTCTACTACATACATCGTTATTATTAGTTGTATCCATCAGGCAGTTACTCATACGTGTATGTGTGTGTGTATGTGTGTATGTCTGTGTGTTAAGCATTAATTGTAACTATCTTTATATTTTGCGTGTATATGTTTAAAACTGATTACTGTTATCTATATACTATAAGCTAATGTACGTACCACTTACTTACCATTTTGGCCTAATTTAAATGCTAATTCATCATTAATTATGATCATGCTCTAATACATATATACCACATATTATGCACAACATACACATACCTATATATATATCGATATATATATCTTTAGAAATATAAAGAAAAACTTCTGCATAAATTCGAACTTTAATTTGTACCCAGAACTTGCCCCCAAGTTCTCGGCTGCTTGCCTATCATATATATTTACATATTTATCATAATCATTATCATTATCGTCATCATTGTTTGCCATGTGTTTCATTGTCAGCTTGGTCGGCGCTTAAAACTAACCAGAAAACTTATTTGTACACACAAATACACACAGACACACTCACACACACATACAGATATCATGGTCAAACTTGGCTAGAAAATAAAAGTCAAGCTGTTTACACTAAATAATTGTATCTAATGCTGTAATTTCTTTTTACTTTTACTTTTTCTTTCTGCGCGTTTTCTCGCCCTATGTATGTCTACTCCACATGTAAAAAAATATAAAAAAAACCGTAAACCCAACAAACAAATGTGTATACCCGTCTGTTGTTATAAACTCACGTTTTCCTATCTTGTATATTCAAAACTGCCCGTACCACAAATATCCTCAAAACAAAACAAATATATATACCATATATGCATACTTATATATGACATACCCACCCAACAACAAACCAACCAAACCAAACCACTCCAACAAACCAGCCTATTGAAAACTGTAACTAAAACAATTGTGAAAGAAACTCTTCCTAACTGAAATATGCCTAACCGGACACGTTGGATAAACATGTACATTTATGCGGTATATGTATATATATATATATGTATATCTATATACATGTGGACAATGGTGGTGTATTGATTGATTGATTGATTGACGTTGGTGGTGAAAATTTAAGCTGCATGCTGCAAATGAAAATGCTAACATAAAAGCAACATTCCAAACACGTGCGTCACTCGGGAGGTTATTTTGGTAACGGACAGCGAACAGGCGATGCGAATGTCAGGATTCATGTGCTCAGCTCCAAGCTCCAAGCTACAAGCTACAAGCTCCAGCCTCAAATACACGCGAAGTGAGCTGATTGAGCTAGTTGTGTTGTAAATCGTTTGTCTGCTTTTCTGATAGACAAAGAACTAAGACACTTTGCCGCAATTTGTTATACGCGTAAGTCTCTCATTTGTTGTAATATCATTTAGTAGGTTAAGCTACCACCCCAGACAAATCAAAAGATAAAACATGAATATATATATATATATACAAATATATATTGCCCTGCACAGCACTGCTTTATTTGCTTTTACAACACTGATATTGAGCCAACAGCAAGCATTACTTTAGTGATCGTAGTTTTCCCGTAGCTTAGCCACTTTCTATACACAAATACACAGACAACCCCAAACACACACACACACACACCTATACAAAGACACACACAAGAATACACACCTCTCTCTCGCTCTCTAATTTCCAAAGCAGGCAACCAACAAATTTTCCAACTGGTCATAAGTAAGCACTTTTCCGAAACGACTTCAAATATTTCTATGGAGAACGTTTTCGATTCCCCAGCTAATCTATTGTATATACATTGGACGTCCTGTGCTAATTGAAATATTATAAATCATATATATTCAGACTGTGGTTGAGGTTCCTAACATTTTCGCTATATGCTAAACAAGATTTTGTGTTTCTCTAACATTTTATACATACTTTATTATATGCTTCCCGTTGACTTGTTTTCGTTTTCTGTTTTTTCTGTTGTTTGCCATTGCAATCGATGTGATCTACAAATTTTGATATTCCATTTTCTTTTGCTCTTCTATTCAAACCCAAAACTGATGCACAGAATTTGGCAAATATCGCATTTAAGCCAAATTTCTGTTTCAATAACAACAATTGGCGATTGTGGCAAACAAGCAACAACAATAAGAACAACTACAACAACAAGCACTATATTAACTTTACGGAACCTTTAACATATATCAAAGAAATGCCAAGCGACGAAGCCGATGTATCCGAGGAGACGGCCTACGATTCGTATTATACGCAATACACAGCGCCCGACTCCATGGACTGTGCCAGCGACAATCTGCTGGTGACCTTCGACTATGGCTACAGCGATTCCATTGGGGCACAGACACCACCATTGCCTGCAGCAGCAGCCACAGCTGTGGACGATTATGGTGCGGATGGTGACTGCGCCATTTGGTTTGGCTCGCCAGCAAACGATGGCAATGCGTTCCAGGTGCATCATGTGCAGCACAACTCATGCCTGCTCGAAGCGAGTCTTCAATCCTTAATATCCTACGATGTGGATGACTTCGAGGAGCAGTCGGAGCCAGAATCAGAGCAAGAGCGAGCACAGCATTCAAATGCAGACAGAGAAGAATACTTTTATGACAGCATCGAATGCTGAATGCACTTAAATTTTCATACAACGGCAGCTTTGTACTAGACAGATATTTGATATGCTATATACATACAGATATATCCATATATAGGCAAATAGCATATAGTTTTTTCATTCAATTTCATAATTTAGCTAGTCTATGCGATTGGTTAGGCACGCGGTAGGATCTTGATAGGGCGCATTGAAGGTATATATTTGTATGTAGTCTAGGTGATGTATGTACGTAACGATGTATATCGAAAGACATGATTTAAGCAATATTGAAGTAATGTAAGTGTTGTGTATGTTATTAGCATGAAGCGTACTAGGTCAGAGCCCATATGTAAATTGTTTTTTGCTTTTCTCCTAATTATAACTGTAACTACACTAAGTAAACCCTACTTTATGATTATATTTGAGCATAGTTTATGTATCTAGTTGATTGTGTGCATCTATTGTAAAAGTCGTCTTAAGTCCAATAGTTATTATTCATTATGCTTACTTATTTGTACTCTCAAACTAATTTAATGCAACTCGTATTAGACAGCAGCTAAACCACAATTTAGTTGTTAATTATGAAATTTAGTTAACCACGCGCATTGCATTGCATTGCATTGCATTGCATGAGATGTATGTACAGAACTTTTATATGAACTACTGATTGAAATGACAGACAACTACATCTGTCTACACTTAGAACTTATCGTATACTGTTATCAAAATGCGTTTACTACATTTATAAAAACCAATATGATAAAACAAAAGTTGAATCTAAGAAAGTGAAAAAAAAACAAGATTTATGAATCAAAATAAAATACATACTATTATTAATATATTCAAGCGGCGAGAAATGTGAGCATATATCCATTTAAATAGCAATTGTAATTGAAGACAACATACTTATTAAAATCAAAACAAAACAACAACAAAATGAAACAAAAATAAAAAATAAAAAAAAATTAATTTAACTCTGGTTTCTCTACTGCTTCTTTTATTTGCAACTCATAAATCAAAGCAATCAATAAAGCGGCAAAAATTTCAATTAATTGACCATTTCGAATTTGAAAAATGCCATGAAACTCTTAGTGCAGTGCCGAAGCTGAGTTACCCTTCAAATGTTATGTGAGTATGGTAATTGGAGAATAAAACCAGTTGAAACTCATTTTTAATGAATTATTTTTGAATTCGTTGGAGATATAGACGAATACATACATAAGAGTATATATTGGTCAACATTATTATGGCAAACAAGTTTGATTAGAAACTTGTTTCAACAACTCGAGAAGTTATGTACAGCTACTAAAAAGAAACAAGCAACAAAACATCTGCGGATATTGGCAAATTCAACAGCTTGATCTAGGGAGAGAAGTTGTTCGGCATTCGGGTGTGGCATAATATATGAAAAACTAACTGGATCCCTTGAAAGGGTATCGTATAATTGCCAGCCTCGTTCGCATTTTATTCAATCGACCAGTGTCAATATTTTTAACCAAATTTTACATATGCTATGCTTATATAGGGTACATAGTCATACATAATTCAATTGCCAGACAGAAAGAGAGCGCAGTATACGCTTGTAGAAAAAGAGGAGGCGAAGAGTGGGCGAGGGAGAGAGGCGCGGAGGTAACGCCTCTCTCAATCGATTACACTACACAATCAGTTAGCCAGCGCACTTCATTTACTTCTATTCGTGCGGCAGCAACCACCAGTTGGCCAAGCGCACTTCGCCGTAGTGCAAGACATGTGGAACGCGTTTGCCTTGTAATTCAGTTGACTGAGAAATGTGCGTAATACATTAAAAAACATTCGTGCAAAAAACATTCATAAATACCAGCGACTCAGATATGCAGTTATCAGAACAGTGCGCAGTCCCCCATAGCACATAGGCAGCGAGAGATCATGGATTTCGATGAAATTTTGGCCAAGTGCGGCAATAGCCATCGCTATCAATATTTACTGCTTGGCTTTTATGGCTTTCTCATGGTGGTTGTGTCCATGCACTACTTCTCCCAGAACGTGATCAGCTTTGTGCCCGATCACTGGTGCTATCACGAGCAGCTGGAGAATCGCAGTATTGCTGAAGTCGAGGCCGTCTATAAACAGTTCGATAAACCCTCGTGTACGCGGCTAGAGACACTCAATGGCGACTTGGATGGGCGGCATGCGACGGTCAGTGGGGAGCAGTGTGATCGTTGGATCTATAATTACGATTTCGGATTCAGAAGCATGAATACCGAGGTGAGTCTGACAATTTACTATGTGCATAGTTGGATCGATGCAAAGTAACAAATTTAAGATTAATTTAATTGTGATCTTAATCACAACTATTATAATTATAAATGTAAATATTTTTTCCTTTGTGCACGTTATTATTGTTTAGCTTAATTGGGTATGCGACGCAGCGTACAAGGCGCGTGTCGGCCAATCCTTTTTCTTTGTGGGCTCCATGTGTGGCACTCTAATTTTTGGTCTACTGGGCGATCGTATTGGCCGCGTTAAGGCCGTTATTTTGGCCAATTGGTGTGGCTTCTTGGGCGATTTCTCAACCATATTTACAAGCAGCTTGACTGCCTTCTCAGTAACGCGTTTCGTATCAGGTCTGGCTGCCGATGCAAACTCGTATCTGATGTACATACTTGGTAAGTATTTATATTACTTATTAGAAGTAACCAATTGGCAACTGGCGCACAGCTGATTCGGCTTATTTCCAACAGTTATCGAATATGTCTCGCCGTCTTTGCGCAATGTGGGCCTGAACATGGTTATGGGGATCTTTTACTCGTTGGGCTTGATTGGGGCAGCTTGGCTGGCTGTCTTGGTGGGCCACTGGCGCATGTTTCTGCTCTGCTCCTCGCTGCCCCTGCTCCTCGTCACACTTTTCTACTTTCTGGTGCAGGAAAGTGCTCAGTGGCTGGTGACGCGTAATGATATCGATGGCGCCGTGAATCGATTACGTCGCGTGGCCAAAATCAATCGACGTGTGGTCAGCGATGAGGACTTCAAGGCGTTCCGCAGCTATTGCCATCACCACTACCGCAAGACGGCTGCGAATGCAGCGGAGCAGCAACAGTCCAAGCTGCTTGACATGCTGAAGACGCCGCGCATGCGCAGCAGCGCATTTAAAATACTGCTAATTTTGTAAGCGTAAGAAATGTTCGTGACATGCGCCAAGCCCAACTGATATTCGTACACTCTTCAACAGCATCATCGTGGTGCCCTGCTATAATACCATTGCCCGCAATGTGGAGGGCCTGGGCATATCGCCATTCATACTTTTCTCACTGAATGCGTTGATGCTGCCGCCTGCCGGCTATGTGCAGGGCTTTCTGCAGGATGTGGCAGGACGCAAGGCCACCGCAGTTAGCTGGATGACGCTCACCGGCATATTGGCCACCGCTGCGGGTCTGGTCATCTCGCTGGGCCAGAATCGAAATGTAATTCTCTTGGTCGGGCTCACACTGGTGACACGTTTCGGCGTGTCGATCGCCGACGGAGTTAGCTCCCAGCTCTGCACAGAGCTCATACCTACCTGTGTGCGTGGGCGTGGCGTGGCCGTGGCTCACGTCGCTGGCTTTGCGGCCTCCTTTCTATCGCCGTACATTCTGCATTTGGGCACGTACTCCAAGCCCGCACCTACAATTATAATTGGCCTGCTCTTCCTCTCTGGGGCGTATGTGTGCCTCCTGCTGCCCGAGACACGGAACAAGAAGCTGCCGATGTCCTTGGCCGAGGGTGAGGAGTTCGGCAAGGGCGAGCGAATGTTCGATTTTCTGCGTCAGCTTAGAAAGCAAGACTCAGCCGAAAAGGAGCTCGAAGCTGAATTGAAATCCAAGGAAGCCCAGGAAACCAAATAAAACAGATATTTTGCCTATGCTTTTATGTTTCTAAATTATGCTGTAAGCGCAACAATACCTATTGATATTTTTGTATTGACTTTGTTCTTCGTAAACAAACCAGAAATTGAAAAATCTTGAATAAATTTTTTTCTAAATACATATGCGCGTTGACTGTCTCTAGGTCAAGCAGTGTATAGAGCAAATGAGTGCTCTACTTGGTAGCATTGAAAATATGTCTTTTTGAACACGTACGTATATATATTAGCTAACTGTACATGTTCGAAAATATATATTTTTCAAATTGCATTGTTCACATATCACTCGATTTCAATTAAATACTATAAATGGCATTTAGTATAAGAGAGTGGGTATAAACAAGCATAATTATTATTTAATTATAGGAGAAATTTTTGAAAAGTTTCTGTTTATATATAAAACAAGATCTTTTTTATTACTTTACGACTGTTTCTAAACATCTTTATTCAGTTTTGTACAGTCTCTGTTGACCCAAACCGGTTTATGATTATTAAAAAACTTATAATCCAGACTAAAAACTGTACGATAATTTGAACAAATGTTTAAATAGCTGAAATATTTATGCCTCAATGAAAATGAAGTGTTTCCAAGTCGTAAGGAATAGCCTACAGATTGTAATAAAATTATTAGATAATAATGCTAAATAGATGATTCTATATATAAAGCTCTTATCGCCTTCTAATCGATGTGACACCCAACGATCTAATGCCATAGATTGTAATGAGAATCGTATTTAAATTATGAGAATGCCTGTCACACATGAGTAAATTCATAATAAATTAGTTCGATTGATAAGTTGGTAAAATCGCGCCTTTCATTTCGATTATATAGCATTGAAGCGCTTATCAGTCGAAAGCCTAGAGAGGAATTCCAACCATAATAGAGCACATCAATGTATTAGAGTCGAACAAATCAGCTGCTTTCAAAACACTCTTAACTATTCGGCAAAGACGCCGCTAGCGAGCACGTCAGCTAACAGTACGTGCGCGGCATCGAGCGAGAGCTGACGACCGCTTCTCTTTTGCCCCAGCACCACACGAAGCGGTCGGCACATATAGAAATCGGCCCTCGTCGAATCTCCCGCGATTCAAGAGCCAAAAGAGATCGAGCCACAAGCATTGCGATGGACTTCGATGAGATACTGGCCAAGTGCGGCAACAGGCATCGCTATCAATATCTGTTGCTCGGCCTCTACAGTTTACTGATGTTCGTCACATCTATGCACAACTTCTCGCAGAACGTTATTGGCTTCGTGCCCGATCACTGGTGCTATCACAAGCAGTTGGAAAATCGCAGCTTCGCACAAATCGAGGCCATCTATAATCAGTTTGATAATCCCTCATGTACGCGTCTGGAGACAATCGGCCCGGATTATGATGGGCGGAATGCGACTGTCAGCGGGGAGCAATGTGATCGTTGGATCTATAACTATGATTTCGGATTTAGGAGCATGAACACTGAGGTAAGTTGCGAATAGCATTTATAGGTCTGTTTTTGCCATTATCTTATCTAACTCTGACTCGGGGTATGTAAAGCTTAACTGGGTTTGCGATGAGGCCTATAAAGCACCCGTGGGGCAATCTTTCTTCTTTATAGGCTCCATGTGTGGCACGCTCGTCTTTGGCGTTCTGGGTGATAAAATCGGACGAATCAAAGCCGTTATTTTAGCTAATCTGTGTGGCTTCTTGGGCGACTTCTCGACTATCTTTACGAGCAGTCTGAGTGCCTTCTCCACAGCACGATTTGTGTCAGGTCTCGCAGTTGATGCCAACACCTATCTTATGTACATCCTCGGTATGCAATGCTGTATTCTAGCTGTAGTTATTGGACATAAGCCGACTTATCATTTGCAGCTCTCGAATATCTTCCTCCATCTCTGCGAAATTCTAGTCTGAGCATAAGTATGGGCGTCTTTTACTGTCTGGGCATGATTAGTTCCTGTGGATTGGCCGTCTTGGTGGGCCATTGGCGTATCTTCCTCGCCTGCTCTTCGCTGCCGCTGTTGCTGGTCATTCTGTTCTACTTTCTGGTGCAGGAGAGCGCCCAGTGGCTGGTCACTCGCAATGATATTGATGGCGCCGTAAGGCGCTTGAAACGCGTGGCCAAAATGAATCGTCGCAAGGTCAGCGAAATTGACTTTCGCGAGTTCCGCAACTACTGCCAGATCAACTGCACCAAGAAAACGCCAGAGTCGAATGAGAAGGGGGACCAATTTATTGACATGTTCAAGACGCCGCACTTGCGCAAGACCATCATCCTTATGCTAATCGTGTTGTAAGTGAAATCCCATAGCTGTCGGGTAAAACTGATCGAATTCTCTCTTTCAGCACAATCGTAACGGTCTGCTACAACACCTTGGCACGCAATGTGGAGGGTCTGGGCATATCACCGCTAATCATGTTCTCACTGACCGCACTGACCCTGCCGCCTTCTGGTTTCATTCAAGCCGATATCCAGAAGCGCATCGGCCGCAAAGGCTCCTCGGTACTGTCATTGCTGCTCACTGGTCTGTTTACAGCAGCCAGTGGAATAGCTCTGTCCGTTTCGCAGAATCCCAGTGCTCTGCTCTTGATATCATTGACGATGGCTTCCCGATTGGGCTTGTCAATCTGCTTGGGGTCGACCCTGCTGTTCTCCACGGAATTGGTGCCCACCTGTGTGCGTTCCCGTGGCCTGAGTGTGGCGCACATGGCCGGCGCGGCTGCCTCCCTGCTCTCGCCTTACATTCTGCACTTGGGCACGTTCTACAGAGCCGGACCTTCAATTATACTGTGTCTGCTGTTCCTGATCGGCTGCTATTTCTGTCTGCTGTTGCCAGAGACGGAGAATCGAAAGCTGCCCATCACATTGGCTGAGGGCGAAGAGTTTGGCCGGGGAGAGCGCATGTTTGACTTCTTAAGACATCCAAAGCCTGATAAAACAGAAGCTGAGACACCTCTAAAAGAAACTTCTTAATATGTTAATTTCCACATGGAATTAGATGCCTTCAAGTCTCATAAATTAATCAATTAAGCTGCGTTAGCTCAGCGAAAATTGTGAAAAACTTAACAAAGGGGGCAGAGCTAAATGAGTACCGTACTTAAGAGCCTCGTACTGTAACATACCCTGTAGGCAACTGCATACTTAAGAGCATCGTACTGTAACATACCCTGTAGGCAACTGCATACTTAAGAGCATCAGACTTTAATATACTCTGTACGCAAGTGAATACCATCGTCTAAAGGCCCGTTTCTCATCAGATTGGAATAAAGGGAAGAGTCGCGAAAGTATTTTCACAGATAATTGATTAGAAAACTCTTCTATTCAGCTGTTAACTAATAAAAAGTATCTTTTAGTCATTGCCATAATCTATTTGCATAATGTATACTAAATTCAGTATAGAAAACATTTAACATATTTTAGTTATATTATTGATACTTATTTTAAATAATATAAAAGAAATCATTTTACAAAGCAGAATGTACAAACTTTTGCAAATAAAATATATATTTTTAGAAAATACACAGGCATTGAGTAAATATTTAAGGCATGTTAGTTTTTACATCTCTCTTTAGCTTTGGCTCTCTTTGAGCAATTTATTCACACGTCTTGGCTGCTTCCTGTATGCGTATAAGCATAATTATAAGAGTGACTGTTCATCTAGCTGGCAGCTATTGCAAGTCTTATACAAGTGGCGAACTAAGAGACAGAGAGAGAGAGAGGGAGAGGGAGAGAGAGCATACGTAGGCAACTCAAAAGTTGTCCTAACCTATAGCATAATATGTTTTACGTACACAAAAATGCAAATCATTCACATGCTCTTCAGAGTAAATACAACTATAAATCTAGCGTCTAGCAATATACTATATAGTCGCATACGCACATACTTGACTAGGTTTTTGGCGAGCTCTTTTGATAAGCCCTCAGATACAATGGTATCTGGTATAAAGTGTAATTAATTGCCCATTGAATAGCTTTGCAGTTGGAATTCATGCGTCTGTTAATGCGATGTATATAGTTGAATTTTAAAATGATTATTGTATCTATATCTGGATATACCTACATATATACACATATATGAAATAAGTTTTGGCATGCTAGTTAGCGCGGCGCTTCAGATAGACGCCGGTCTCTCTTTAGATTAAGGCGAATAAGTGGATTCACTTAAATAATAAAACATTTATTTCGTAATGGATAGAATGCTACATACACACACACACACACACACACACACACACACACACACACACACACACACACAACACGCCAATACGATAAGCAACCGAAACAATCTTATCGGAACCAAACTGAAACAGAAACTGCGGCCGAGCACTCTGTGCAAATCTGACGGCTGAGGGCTACAACTATATTCCGCTGGGCCGTGTTCGGATTTCAGTCTTAATAGAATCTCTGGGCGAGCACAGTGAGAGCGCGTGCCGCAATGAATTTTGATAAAATTCTGGAAAAATGCGGCGATGCGGGACGCTATCAGTATCTCATGCTGCTGCTACTGGGCTACATAGCATTCACCAGCACAGTGCACTACTACTCCCAGAACATAATTGGGTTTGTGCCCCAGCATTGGTGCTATCACGAAGAGCTGGCGAATCGCAGTCACGAGGAGATCGCCGCCATTTATGCGCCCTTTGGCAACAAGGCTGCGTGCACGCGCCTCGACAAGATCGAGGTCCATGAAGGCATCTACAATGTGACCGCGAGCAGTCAGAGCTGTGAGCGCTGGATATACAAATATGACTATGGATTTCGCAGCATGAATGCTGAGGTAAGTTCTGTATCCAAGTAAAGCTTTAGGTTGTTTTCAACCGATTATTCTGCAGCTTAATTGGGTCTGCGATGATGCGTACAAGGCGCGCATTGGACAGTCCCTCTTCTTCTTGGGGTCACTCTTGGGCACCTTTGCCTTTGGCATGCTGGGCGATCGGATTGGACGCGTGCGTGCCGTCATCTTGGCCAATCAGTGTGGCTTTGTGGGTGACTTTCTGACCACGTATGCCACGAATCTGACACAATTCAGCGCTTTTCGCTGCATCTCTGGTCTGGCTGCAACAGCAAACTATTATCTGATGTTTATTCTAGGTAAGCATTGCGTATCTGCTCACCTTCTTTATCAGCTCTGCTCATCACTCAGTCTCTCTTCCATGGCAGTGCTGGAGTTTCTTGCGCCAAAGCTTAGGAATTTGGCTATTAGCGGAACACTCGGTCTGTGCTTCTGCCTGGGCGCGCTCGTCGCCCCTTGGTTATCAGTTTTAGCCGGCAACTGGCGCATCTATTTGACGTTCTCAGCGCTGCTACAGCTCGTCGTGGCGCTCTTCTATTTTGTGGTTCAGGAGAGCGCACAGTGGTTGATCACGCGCAACAATGTCGAGGGCGCCATTGCCAGATTGAAGCTCATTGCCCATTTCAATGGTCGCCAAGTGCCCTCCGCTGACTTTGAGGCATTTCGCCAGCATTGCACCGCCAAGCGCAAGCATGAGAGTCAACAGCAGAAGGCCAAACTCTTCGACCTGATGCGCACCCCGCGCCTGCGCAAGACTGCGCTTATTGTCATCTTTACCTTGTGAGTTGTCCTTGGTCCTCGGGAAATTTCGTGATTTTTTCAACAAGTTTTCATATTTCCGCAGCATGCTGATATCCCTGAGCTTCAACACCATCTCAAGAAATGTGGAGGGTCTGGGCTTGTCGCCATTTGTGGTTTTCTCGCTATTTGCCGTGGTGGTGCCACCCTCAGGCCTGTTGCAGGGTGTCTTGCAGAGCCGCTTGGGTCGTAAGGCCACCTGCTTTGTGGCCTTGTTTTGCACAAGCCTGCTGGCTTGTGCCTTGGGCGTTTGCCTGACCTTCGAAAGCGTCCAGTTAAATGCCACCCTGCTGCTGGCCTTTGCGATGCCCACAAGACTGGGCATCTCGATATGCTATACGACCTTCTCGCAGTACTCGTCCGAGCTATTGCCCACGTGTGTGCGCTCCCGTGGAATAGCCACGGCCCACTTGGCCGCTGCAGCTGCCTCAGTTACCTCACCTTATCTAATACATCTGGGCACCAAATTTGCCGCGGGCCCATCGTTCATTCTGACTGCATTGCTACTGACTGCGGCGCTGTCCACGCTGCTCCTGCCGGAAACGAACAATAGGTGAGTGAGGGCATAAGGACAAGTATGGAAGCTATAAATTTGAAATCCTCTAGGCAACTACCCATTACGCTGGAGGATGGCGAAGCCTTTGGCAAGGGCGAGTCTATGCTGTCCTTCGATTGCTTGCGAGCACGGGACGATGATGTGCTGAAGCAACCCGCTGAGGAGCTTAAGCTAAACGCACTTAATGGTGCGCGTCGAAATACTTCACAGGAAACGGAAGCGGAAGGTGCACCGGAAGCGGATGGCGAAGCGTAAACTAGCCCACTGGCTCGCCTGTACATATACATAGCAGATATATTTTAAATGCCAAAGTATTATAGATCAAACACACAGACATTTTAGTTCCGAAAGTTGTCAGTAGATGAGAAATTTATTTGATTGATTTTGGGTCACAGTATTCAACATAATATTAATTTATATATATTCATATACATGTATATATCTGTATAGATTTGTATGTATTTGTAAACTCTGTAATCCTCTCGTGATTGCTTACATAAGTATAAGTAAAGTGTACATAGGGCATGTACTCGTAAAAGGGTATGTAAACATTTGCATTTAACTTCAAGTATGCCATAAATCTAACGGCTTCAATTTTAAAGATTTTTTGTGTTTTTTTGGTTTTTGCTGTTGCATTTTCTTCATATTTTTCTTGTGTTTTGCATTTTATTTAAGAGCTAGAGAAAGTCTTACAAAGTACAAAATAGATATCGCTTAGCCCTGTTTGAAACTCTCAATGGAAAAACTTATAAAGTCGGGGGCTTAAGAGCTTTAACTTAAGCCTAGGTATAATATCCAGGACAGAGTATGTGGGAAATATATATTTTTATGTAAATGTATTAATGTTTCTCTTGATTATTTTTGGTTACCAATATAGGTATATCCTTAAGTGGATTTAACAGGACTCAGCCAAAACATGCCCCAATTATCCTGTTCTTTCAACCGAATACAATTTGTATGCTCAAAAAACTTGTTGTCTGTGCACAAACTACGTCTCTTATAACAAAAGTTCATTCAAAATGAATGAACGAGCCCAAAGAAATCTTTTCCATATGTCTAAACTCTGGTAGCTTGAATACCCCTTACTCGAGCCAATATTAAAGTACCACTTAAAGTATTTTTGATCACATCAGTTTCAGGAATGGAACAAAACTGTGCTAACTTCCATATCCCAATTCTGCATGATAAATTATAGAACTCTAATATGCATTGGATGTAATCCAGAAAACTGTTTTTCTTTTTCTTTTTCTTTTGTATATTAACACAACATATTTTAGGCGCTTGGCCAATGTATCTATATCTGATTGATTTCTTTCAAATTTTCTTATACCTTAAATGCTAAAGTTGAGCACTCTTTGCAATTGCTGTCAAATAGTACGTAAATATTTCATGATATACATAATTTGAAGATGTGTTTCTTTTCGGCAATCAAGCGGAGACCTAATCTCATCAGATCCATCGAAAGAATTTCCAAATCGGTAAGTTAATGCCGTGTCCTAGGCTCACTTAATACTACATTACCTCTTGCTACTCTTTTATTGTATATACTATATATATATATATAAGTGTACATATATATATATATATATATAGGTATAGGTGTATATAACTGACTATGTTATCTCATAATATGTGTATATATTGTAGGATTGTATTATAAATATACCATTTAATAAACTCTAGTTCACAAAAGTTCAGTTTGAATCCAAAAAATGCGTACAGTAAAAAGGTAAAAAGATTTCTCATGATTTTTTGGATACTCCGAAGTAAATACGAGGAGTTTATAGCACCATGCGAGTGAGTAGTGAGTATGAAATAGTCGAGTAGTCGAATAGTCATAGAATGTACATAGCTATAAATTGTTAAAACACAATTCACAATTCATGTGCCTAACTTAAGTTGAGTTTTGGTTAGATTTCAAGTTAGAGTAGGGCTGATTTCCGGCCTGCCTTGGGAGCCAGGACTAAAGTAAAAAAATATATAGATATATTGTAAGCACTACATTGAACATTCGAGATGAAAAACAAACTACTTGTGTGTAAACATAGTATTAACTATTTGCACATAATTAGGCTGTCAACAATTTCATATATATATATATATTTTTGTTTTTAGTTTTTTTTTAACCATATTTAAGTGTTTTATTTTTATTTTTATTTTTTTCGCTGGCATTGCTAACCAGCAACAATTACTTTCAGGAATCTTGTAAGTTTTTTTCATCTATAATATGCCACTAAATACCATTTATTTTATTTAAATTTTTTTGTTGCAATTTTTGCTGCTTATTGTTTGATTTTATATCATGTGATGTTGTTGATGTTGAGAAAATTGTAATGCCCACATTTAAATATATAAGTATCTCAATATTATATAATAGCAAACCGTTAAATCCCTGTGGGTACATTATCATCCAATTTCGCGCGTGTGTGTGTGTGTGTGAGTGTGTTTGTGTGTGTGTGTTTCGAAAACATTGAGTATAAAAGACAAGCGGTATTTAGGCAACGAGTGATTCAGCAATTTTCTTTTATCAAAAAACATTTCCTATAAATTTATTTTTTTTCGGTTTTTGTTTTTGTTTTAAGTATCATTCAACGTTATTTATTTGTATGCAAGTAGGTTTCTTCAATGTAAACTTACACAAAAAGCATTCATAAGATTCGTTTTTTTTTCTATATTAAATTTCATATTTTCATGATTTATAGTATATATATATATATATTTCCAACAAATTTTTAATTATAATCGAACGCCTTCAGGAGCTGCCTCATAGTATTCCATATATATAGATGCATGTATATAAATTGTGAATATAAAAGTTCCACAACAAATAGATTTTTAGCAACAAGGGGTTGGAGGGAGAGTGACATATAGATTGTATTTATATTGATTCGATTTCACAATGTATATATATATATATATAAATATTTATATATATATATTTTATTTTGTTTTTTTTTTGGCTGCTATTTACTCGAGTTTTGGTGGGTATCTAATGAAGTAGTTGGTATTATGAAGCTTAGCTGAGTTGGTTTATTTAGTTGCACTGTGCTTGCGATATGCTTGAAGTCTGGATTGATATAATATATGTATATGTATACGTTGATGTATATATGTTTCGTTTAGCGTTTGCTTAAGAGCTAGAGACAGTGTTGGAAAATGAAAACTGTTGTAGAAACGAAAACAAAAAGTTGCATTTACAAAAACATTGTTATTTGTATTTTTCGATTATGTTTTGATAGGTACTAGTACATATTATGTATTACATAGCTTAGAGTTTATGTCGGTTTAGTTATTATCGTAGATTTAATGCATACAGTATGCAAAATTGCAAATTCCATTTGTTTTTGGACAAAAAAACACACACAAATGATTCTAGGTTTTAGCCTATATAGATATATATAAATATATATATTTGCGTATATACACATATGTATATGTATATGGGCTAATTTGTCGACGTCTTCGACTCCATCATCGTCGTTTTACTGAGCAATCCACGTGTTTGCTATACAATTTGTAGTATCTTCTGGGATATGACCCTCTTATAATTAGTGCAATAATTTGATAACACTTTTGTTGTTAGTTGGTTTGTTGGTTTTTCGTATTTGAACATTGTGCTGCTTAAACTACATAAACAATACAGATACTTTGCAGCGTCATCTCTACTGCTAATGCTAATGCTGATGCCTGGCCATCAGTCAGACACAGCTTATGTCTGACTGCCATATATTCGAGTATTGGAAATCATTCTAAATCTTACTAACTTGCAAATCAAACTTCAATCATTCAATCAATCAATTGGTTTCGAATCGAATCATGAATTTCATTCAGGCTTAACTTTCTAGTAATGCTTGTCATCGTACCCTATTATGTAATACTTATTACATTATCAATACCATACAACACAATTCAAATTCAAATACAAATACAAATACAAATACAATTCAAATACAAATACAAATACAATTCAAATACAAATACAAATACAAATTACGTATTCGTATGCCATGGAGAAAACTTGTAACTGCCACATTATAGTGTATGTATATATGTGTTTGAGTTTGCCTGTGTGTGTGTGTGTGGGTGTGGCTAGGCAATAAATTACTACTGTGCAAATTGTGACGGGAACTGTGCCTATGGCAAAGTCGAACGTATGCCATCCAACGTGGAGCGTAGCACTAGGCTGCCTTCAACCCAGAAGTTGGGGCGATCTAGCATGTTCTGCCACAGAGAGAGCTCCTTGCCGGTAGCATCCATCCAGTCCACCTGACGTCCATAGCTGCGGCCTGTTGGGAGTAGAAACGTTAGCAAACACTGCTTGAAGTAACCGCTGTTGGCAGCTCTCACCTGTGCCCAGGGAGAAGCGTATGCCGCCCACAAACTCGTTGCTGGCCAAGCGATCGTGATCCCAAACGGTCAGCTCTAGAGCACGCTCCGACAAGTCTTTTTGGGAGACATCCTCGTAGACAAACGTATAATTCCAGCTGGGATGTAGAGTTCGCTTCACCACCGGCGTCTTCTGCTTGGAGCTGCGCGTGCGATCAGGTAGCAAGTAGCTGAAGGATACAAAGGTTTAGCACGAACTTCGGTTAATCTTCCTTGGGGCGCACTCACCTCTTGCAAAAGGCATCACAGGTGCCATTGGTCTTGATGGGACTTAAGTGCTTGGCCTCCTTGACCAGCACATGCAGCTGTCCGCCCTTGGCGCTGCGATCCGACTTGGAAGTCACAGATTTGATGCTGCCTCCAAACTTGCGCAGGTTCGAGGAGCTGCCTGTGAGGCTGGAGCCACGCGAGAATATCGAAGATTTTAGACTCTCTGGCGGAATGTATTTCAGGCCCACAACAATATCGCCGCGGTAGGTGGCAACATCATCAAATGGTTCGCTCTGCAGAAGGGAATCGTTTATAGTTGAGGCAATTTTACACACATGCGAGGTCCACTTACGCGTTCCTGCAGCAAATACCACTGCGACTGGGGATTGTCAAAGAGACGTCCTTGCAGATTGACGCTGACCTCGCCCAGGAAATCGTTGCGTCCAAACATATCCGAGTGCCATACGGTCAGCCAAAGAGTTTTCGACTCCAAGCTGGAAATGGACGTGTGGAAGCGCAGCGTCTCATCAAAGATGGGATTCAGAGTGTGCTTCTTGACTTTAGTCTTGCGCTTGCCAGCCTTCGACTTGTCGGGCAACAGATAAACCTGCAGAGAACACGAAACACAACAACTGGAGACTTTAGCTACTGCCGAAGGGATCTGCAGTTCTTTGAGTAGTTACCTTGACATAGGGATCGCTGCGATTGCGTTTGGCATCGACAGCAGCCAAATCCTTGCAACGCACCACGTGAATCTCCAAGGCGCCCAGCTTATAGTTGTACTGCATGCCGAACTCCACCTGGCCCTTGACCACTACAGTGCCATAGCGACCCTCGCCGGCGCCCGAATAAACGCTGGCCATGGACTCCGAGCGTACCTGTTCGAACAGAGAGTATTAGAGCTGCACAGGACTCTGGTTATAAAAACAGTTGTACTTACGCCCAGGGAACTGAGGCTGCTGCGATTCTGGTGCATGGCAACCAGGCGATCGATGTCCTCATCCGACTGTGGCGGCCATGTTTCGCTCGAGGCACGCGACTGTATCGGGCTGGAGGCGGCGGCATCCGGATTGCGTTGTCCAATAACCGGCGATTGGCTGAGCTCATCGGCAGCTGCTTTGGCTTCCTCTGCGGGTAAAAGAAATAAATGATATTTTAGACATTTCCTCAATTACATTTAACGAGCCAGTCAACGGACACACACACATTCCTATAAATAGTCGGACACACACACGCACACACTCAATATGCTTGATCTGAAAACGAAATAATGATTCATTGGAAAGCGAGCGTCAGTTGGTTGCATGCAACAGGCAGGTGGGGCAGGGAGATGAAGCTGTGCCGCCTACCTTGCACCTTCTGAAACGTCACATGGAGCGGCGTGCGGCGCTGCAAATTCAGCGACAGCCGCAGCCCAGCCTCAGCAGCGGCCATAGCAGTAGTAGCTGTGCCTGCACCTGGCAAGTCCTCCTCGAGCGTTTCAAGAAAACGATCCGAGTTGGAGCGCAGGCTGTCATCCCAGGTCCAAGCGCGACGCTTCATCTGCGCCAGGCAGATGGCTGGCTGCAACTGTTGCTGCTGCTGCTGCTGGGGTGGGGCACTGCTGCTGCGCTCTAGGCCAGCCGCTGCCGTCTCGTCTGTTGCCTGATTAAAGGCTGTCTCAGCCGTTTGCTCACTTTGCCTGCTGGCCACTGCCTCGCGCTGCTTCATCTCTAGTATATAGGCTGCGACCTTGGCATCAATGTCGTCCTCCTCCTCCTCGGAGTCATAGTGATAGCTGCCGATCCCCCTTCGACGATGACAACAATATTTTCCCCAACGCCACCACGAGCTCCACTTTGATTTTGTGGCACCGCCGCTGCGCCAATAGTTCTTGTAGCTGCGTTGGCGTCGCCGTCGCCTGCGCCAACGCCAGCACCAGCAGAGGCGCTGCCAACGCCGCTGTGTCTGGCCAGTGGGCGTGGCTTGGGCTTGGCTGCTGTTGCGCAAGCGATTGAGCGCAGCATATTGTATTTTGCCAGCAGCAGGATTGGTCTCCACGCCCGTTGCCGCCGACTTAATGGCTTTGCCATAGTTGTGCACACTCACAATGGCAGCTGTTGGCGGCTTCGATCTGGACGGTCGCACAAATTCATTGTAGCCGGTGGCATCTTTGGGAGTTGTATTGTTCCCCCGCTTGCCAATTAAACGCGTCACTTTTCTCATTATCGACGTTATGAGTTTTATAATTGAACGGATCGGCCATTAATTGATGACGATTTTGGGACCAACAAAAGTCTTTCGCCAACTTGTAGTATACCCTTTATACGACAAATTTACAGAATGAGCTCTAAAGCAGATGCAGGCAAGTCAGAGGAGTTCATTGGTGTTAATGACTAAACCTATCAAGCCATCTCTAGGCATCTATTGATATGGTTTATATACATACATGAGCTATTATGAAATTGAGTTAAAATTAAGTAAAAGACCTTGTTGGGGCGACTTCTGGCAGTGCAGGGTATTTGCCAGTCAGGCACTCTGGCCAAGCGTTGCTGCGCTTGTTTTTCTAGTTTTTGCCGCTCTCAAAAAGTTAATTGCATTTGGCAACAGCTGCTCAAATTGTCACATTTATAGACTCACAATGGGTTCTGATAACCAACTTTGCGCAGCGATAAGCAATCTGAAGCAAATAAATACAGTGTAAAGAAGGGGAACTGTGGAAATTTTGACACGTAATTTGGTTTAGAATTTTCAATGTGTGTTATCTGAAGCACGAATATGTTGTGGCTGGCCAACGACTGGGAAGTGAATTCAAGGTGTTCGCTTTAATTCAATTGAAATTACGGCAAATCGCACTTGAACTTGCCTCGGCCTTGAATTCTGCCCGCAATTAGATACCCTCACAGTCGGCTAATGGCCATAATTGGGCTGTGAAATGTTGAGAATTGAAGGCTTGGCGAAACAAACGACTTGCGAGCGAACAGCTAGAAAACTAGGTCACATAGCGCCTCGAAAATAAAAATATTTCGACTGGAATTATTCATATTTTCTATGGCTATAAACTTTTGTTGACTGACTGCTTGCTGTATGTATTAATTTTCCTTAATGCAGTCACGATTTGTTGACAATGTTTTCGCTTTAAACTTTTTGTATTTTATGGAACTTTTCATAATTTCCGCCAGCACGGCATACATAAGTGGGGCTAGCGCCAAAAGCGTTGGAAATCAACTTTAAATAAATAAGAAGAAACGAAAATAAGAAAATAAACAAAACAAAATTAAGCACTTTCACTTGGGCACTCGGCACAGCGAATTGTTGGACGTTACGACTTATGGAGTCAGTGCAGAGGTATTTGAAACTATGCGATTTCGATTCCGTTTCCGATTTCGGTTTCTGTTTCGGTTTCGGTGTCGGTTTATAGAGCGCGTCGCGATCAAGTGCCGTTAAGCGTGGCGTTATTACTGAGCTCCAAGCAGAAGAACTCGACCACAACTCGAGAAATTCTACGCAAATCTAAGTTTTATTCAATTATTGAAATATTGAACTTTTGCTGCCCAGAGGTCGCCATCTGTCGCAGCGCCAATGGAAGTGCAATTAACGAAATGATTCCCGATGCTGGCATCCAGCGGGTGCAACAGAGACAGTCATATTTGATCTGCTCGTAAGGTTAATTTGATTACAAGCGCCACAAGTAACGGGTGTGTCATGCGGCGACACAGGGTGTCCGCATAACGGCTGGCTGCAGGGTGCCTGGATATTTCCGCAACAATAATCTCTTAATTAGTATGAAATTGCTACTGGCATGCTTCACTTGCCATTTAAATATATATGTAAATAGTTTTAAGCGTTGCATTTAAAATGCCGGATGGCCAAACACTCTTCCGTGCACTGTGCACAGTGCACAGTGGTGCAGTCAACCAAGCACGAAACCCACTCGAAATTCTGTTGCTTGTGTTGTCTGTGGCTGTTGGCCGTTGGCCGTTGGTGTCAACGCGGGTTCAAAAACATTAATTATTGTATGCAAAAAAGCAAATAATCACATAGCAAACAGGAAATAAACCGGCAAAACACTTTATCAACGTCAAGAGCTTAAATGATATTGTACGCCGACATCAAGCGTACTTCAGTTTCGGCTTCAGCCCCAGCTGCAAATCCATCGAACCACTGGCCATGCGTATAGTTTTATTTATTTTCTGGTAATGTTGCCAAAACAAAAAACCAAAATGATTTGGTTACACAAAGCTGTTTAAACAACAAAACAATACAGCCAAAGCGCTATAGTTTATTTACGCTAGGGATGAGTGCGTGACAAGGCATGCACTGGATATTTAGACGATTATATTGTAAATAAATGTCGAGACAGCTGTGCAGGTAATACGATGACTACTCAGAATCCTTAAAGGCGAGCTCAGCGGGAGTTAGTCAATGACTAAGCCACGCAGCTAGCAATAAATCTGAGATACTATAAAGTTTAGCCTTGCTGTTACAACTGCAGCAAGCAGTCATGAGACAAAAGACATTTACTTAAAATTTAAGACCCGCAAAATTTAATTTGTCAATTTCTATTTCAAATATAATTCATAAGCTCGTTGAATTCTGTTAGGCTGCGTTATTTATGGACGGAATTTAAATTAATTTGTGTTGTATAACAGCATTTAGCATAATTATTCAAACGCTCTATTGTGTGCGTGGCAAAGCACTCACGCGCCCATCCCCAGGGGCCGAAAACAATTGAAGCAGAGTTCAAAGCCCCGCCTGCGCGCCTGACACAAGGTTCGGGTTGGAGTACAAGTTCGAGTTTCATTGACCAAGCCACAAAACAGCTTTATTTTTGGCCAACTAATAAATAGGTAAGACAGGCAACAGCAACAGCAGCAACAACAACGACAACGACAACATACGCCCCCATCAGGCGGAACTGGCAGTAGCAACAGTTGGCGCTGTGCGAAAATCGCTTTAACTTTAGCTGGCAGACTGCCAACAAGCCAAGCGCTTAATATGGATACAGTTAATTGACCTTGATTGAGTTGATTTTGGCCAAAAGAGCCGCGAGCCTATCTATAGTTGGCCAACAAATAAAAAAAATCATCAAATTCTTTGCTGAGAAGCGTCAGCAATGGGGAAGAGCAACAAAGATGATGAATACCTGTTCAAATAGAGGCCTAGAGCACAAATAATAATAAAAAGCTGACAAAGAAATTCTATTTTAGCCATGAATAAAATTCTTTTTACCAGAGCAGAAATACTCAAAATAGTTTTCCTTGTATTATTTCACTATTTTATATTGCCTATATAATTCGTGAATAGTTAAAGACAAAGTAATTAAACTTTTAACTGACTATTACTATTCCAGCTGCACATTAATTTTAATAGAGCTTTCTGGTAGTTTTTAAAACAGTTCTTAACTATGAATAAATCTAAAAAAATATATAAAAATAATATTGGTTTCCCTTGACAATTTTCTCGAGCAAACTTTATGATTTCGCTATTATAATTTATCAAATTAGCGAAATATATAATATATACGTAGTATAGTATATAGTATATAGTATTATATATAAAATATAATATTTAAAATATAATATATATTTAGCCAATAGCAACCGCCGAGTGTGTTACACATATCTAAGTTATACGACTCTTGGCAAAGGGCAAATGCATTCAAGCATTAGGTACAAAGCCATGTGTATAGTGTGTGTATATATAAACGATATTCAGCAGAACTATATAAAAATATACAGGTGCACGGTATAATGTTTTCGTAATATCATGATCACCTTCGGCGTTCATATTTTTCAAATTCCAAGAACATTTAAAGAGACTAGAACTGTATACAACTCTATGCACTCGCCACACTTAAACCAATTCGAGTTGTATTTCATTTGAAGTAAAAGGAAGAGAGTTTATAAAATCATTGGCAGTTGACACAAGAGCTTTCCCCCTGTGAACTCTGTTCAAATAAGTTTATTTATCATTGCTGAACCCCTTTCCCTTAAGCGGAATTTTCTCTGCTGAACGTGTCCGAATGTGGCGCCTCGTTGGCATTTCAGGCATGGCAGCACTTGGAGGCTAATCGCTATGTAAAAAGGCAAACATCTGAAAAATGCTAAGCATTTGAACCCAGTATGTGACCTTTATCCACGCGCGTGTGTCTGTGTGTGTGTTGTATCTGCCGGCTAGTTAAGCAAAGGCTTTGGTAAACTCACCCGCTGACATGTTCAGGCGTTTGCGCGCATCACGTTTGGAGTAGAGGAACTGCTGTAGACCGCCGCCGAGCTTTTTGCCGCAGCTGTTGGAGGAGCTGGCGGAGCCAACTCCTGCACCGCTGCTGTTGGCGGCCGCTGCACGTGCTGCCAGGCCCGGCGAGCGGTAACGTGCGCTCTTGGCGCTACCCGTGGACGAGGGCGTATAGTTGAGCGCGTTCTGCGATTTGGTGATGGGCGTGCTGGTAAAAGCGGCTCCCACCGATGCCACCGAGCTGGTGGGCAGGCGTGGCAGCGAATTGGTGCTGGCCACTGGCACGCTGCCTGCTAGGCTGCGTGGCAAGGTGGAGCGATTGGCACTGAACTGTGCGGATTGGTCCTCGTCGCTAGAGTCCGTCTCGTAGATGGCATCGGGCACACTGGACCGGCGCACATCCTTGGCGGAATCGGCGCAAGAGCTGGCCGATGATAGCCAAGGCTTGGCGGGCGATGCCTCTAGCTGATGATGATGGGCATCGCCGCCGCCAATGCTGCCGCAGGAGCGCACACGGTCCAGCTGCTCGCGGCTAAGGCTCTGCTGGTGCTGGCTGAACAGCAGGTCGCCTGCAGATCGGCGCTTTGCCACAGCCAAAGCGGACGCAGACGACGAGTTGTCCCTGTCTAACTGGCTCAGCTGGCTGAGCCTCGTTCTGGAGTCGCCATTAGCCAGTAATGCCGACTCAAAACTTCCGCGCCACGAGAAGCGCTCATAATCGCTGGCCACGCCGCATTCCTCCCCGGCGTTGTCGCCTGTTCCTGTGCTCGCGACTCCCGACTGCTGATGGCCCGTCGCATTGGCGGGCGTGTGTCCATGGAGCTGTGTATGCTGTCCGGAGTTGGCGGCGCCATCCAGCAGCAAATCATGCGAACGGCTGCGCAGCTTAAGCTGCTTTAGCGGCACCGCTTTCAGCTGCAACTGCTGCTCCACCTCGTCCTCTTCGTCCTCCGTTGTGGTGGCCGAGATTTTGGCTTGCACACGGCGACTGTGTCGCGCGGACATGGGCGTCTCATTGCCACTGCTCACCTCGTGCATCAGGGCCACCAGGCGGGTTCCTATGTGTTGCATGACCTTGGCAAACAGCTGCGGCGAGCGTTGCTCCGTGCTGGTTGTGGACAAGCGATCCTCATCTGGCTCCACTGGCTTGGCATTGGCATTTGGCGGTGCTTCGCTGGCTTCGCCCACTGCTACCTTGCTGAAGGAGGCCACCAGCTTTTGGTACACGAATGCCGTATCGCCATTCAACGCATGCGCCTCATCCAGCAAACCACCATCGCCTCGCACGCCCTCCTCATCCACCTCGAACTTGTTGATTATCTGCTGACAGCTGGCGGAGATTTGTGCCTTCAGCTGTCCCTTGTGCTCGGAACCCTCCAAGTCAGAGCTGGTATAGTCGGAGGAGTCATACGAATCCGACCAGGTATCTTCGCTGCTTAGATACTCGACTATCTCCCGCACCTGATCATCATTGATGCCCGGCACAGTCTTCATCAGGCGAGTCAGCTCGTTCTCAAAGTAGGCTAGCTGTGCTGGCCGAGACTTGGCCGACTTGCAGGCCAGCCGGCGCACTGAGCTGGGCGTGCTGCCGGCACTTGGGCTCTGCGACTGACTCTGTATCTGGCTCTGGGTCTGACTCTGATTCTGGTGTGCATTAGCTGTGGCCACGATGAGCGTCTTGAAGAACTGACGCATTTTGGTCATCATCAGGTTGGTCTCCTCGTCGGAGCTCCAATTGTTGAAGCTATCCTTGCGCACCAATATGGAACTGTTGTTGCCACCCACTACCGGTGGCTGCAATGTTATGCGGCGTGTTGCGTTGCTGACAGCACCTGCACTTGTGCTGGGCATCTCTGGTTTGGGCAAACTGAGTGCAGTTGCTGTGGCCAGCGGCTCACGGTCCTCGCTGATTTGGCCCAAAGCTGGCGTGGGCGATTTGCATGGTTCGCAATCCGGAGACTTCAATAGGTCGTCGTTGCTGCCCACAAAGCCGCTGTCGCGGCTGTGATGCTGTTGTTTCTTGGCCTGAGCTGTGTTTAGACTGTTTGCATGTGAGTCGCCTCCGATTCCGCCTCCAGCTCCAGTTGCGCACACATCTGCTGCCTCGTGCAGCTTCTTTTCGTCTAGGGAGTCGTGCCGCTTGCGCAGCTGCTTCTTGCGCTTTATGGTATCTGAGGAGCTGCCGTCGGAGGCGCGATCAACGGCGTTTGCCATGTGCACGACGGTATCATCGCAGCCGGTCTCCGATTCGGATGTGTCCTCCGCAGCTCCAGCTGCAGTTGGCGTGGCATCTAGTGCATCAGCCTCTGGCAGCAGCAGATTATCCAGCGAGGAGTTGTGACTACGCGGTGTGCCTCGTGCGCGCACTAGCCGCTTTCGCCGCTGACTGGGACTCGGATGTCCCTCGCTATCGCTGCCAACGCTGCCGCCGCTCTCGTCGCTTTCCGCCTGCTTCTCGCCGGAGCCGCTGAAACCCATGAACCCGGAAAGGAAATACTTTTCTAGACGCGATGATGCCAAATCTGCGGCGCTATTGGCGCCATCCAGCAACTGATCATCATTGGGCAGCGAGTCCAAACTCTCAGAGCACTCGGAACTGACCTCCGAGGCGGTGTCATCGCCGCGCGTGTCTATGGAGCTCATGACCTTGCCGTCGCCCAGGCCGAAGAAGAAATACTTCTCCAGTTCTGAGGCGCTAAGGCGATGATGGTGCTGCAGCGTGCGCATGCGTCGACGTTCCGCCAAGTCCTCCTCCTCTTCTTCCTGCTCCAGTTCGTTATCGGCCCGCATCGAGGCCACTTCGCTCTCCTCACAGCTCTCCTCGACAATGGTGTGCAGCGTAAAGTCAATGGCCGAACGATTATAGCCGCGTAGCTCCTCCTCACGATCCATGTACATGATGCGACCGCCGCCCAGCTCTCCATCCCCATCGGCATCCTCTGAATCGGTGGCTGTAGGCGTTGTCGTTGCATTGCTCAAGTTCTCATCATCCTCGTCGCCATCGCCACGTTGGCTCAGCTCTTCCACCCAGGAGTCGTCGTCGGCCAGGCCATCGTCCAGACTGAGCTTCGGCCTCACATTCGGCTCATTTAGGGAATCCACACTGTAAGAGTCACGCGACAATTCCCGTTCACTTGGTGTTGGCGTCACTGTCAACGGCTCCACTCTAAAATCGATGTCGTTGCTTAAGGCGCGCAGCGTAGCGTGTGACTCATTGCCAAAGTTCTGGCCAAAGCTGTTGCTGTTGCTGCTGCTGCTGCTGTTGTTGTTGTTGTTGCCAATCGCTGCCATTTCATAATCGTTGTCGCTACTCGTTGTTGCTGCTGCTGTTGGGCTTTCATTGTCTTTTGTAATCATCACTAAGCTGCGATATTTAGCTGAAAGTGAATTCTTAGGTGCAGCATTTGTTGTTGTTGCTGTAGTTGTGTCTGTTGTTGCTGCTGCTGTTGCTGCAGCTGCAGTTACACTTGGCTCTTTGTTGATTTGCAGTTCTTGATGACTGCCAAATATTTTGTCGTATTCGTTTTCACAACTTTCAAACACACGCGACGCTGCTTCATTCACATTCACATTCACATTAACATTCACTACGTCACAGTTACTGTTGCTGCTGCTGCTGCTGCTGCTATGTTGGCCAACAACAAGAGCAGCTTTGTTGTTGCTTTCTGTCTTTTTTGCTGCGAAATCGCCGTCATTATGACCAACGTCGTCGATGTTGTTGTTGTTACTACTGCTATTATTATTGTTAATGCTGTTGTTGTTGTTAGTGTACAACGTTAGGCGCGCGTTTGGCTCTTCAACCGCAACGTTTAACATTTCATTTTCGACTGACTCCGCTGCCGCTGTCGCCGCCGTTTCCAATGCCGACTGCGACTTCACTTCGGCTGCGCAATCGGCTAAATGAGCAACAGGTAGCGCACTCTCTTTATGCTCAGCAGCTGTCGCTCTCGCAGCTACCTGCTGCGGCTGCTGCTGATGTTGTTGTTGTTGTCGCTGCTGTTGTGCTTCAGGTGCTTTACTCGTTCTGGCGAGAGAGTGAGAGTTGAACGAGTCCAACCAATCGTCGTTTATTTTGCATGCTTCGCTGAGTATACCGCCGCCCGCAGCGTCTCCCGCTGCCGTGGCCTGGGTTTGCACAGCTGTTCGCTCAGCGATAGTCGTTGCTGTTGTTGTTTGCTTGGCTGCTACTTTATTATCGCTGTTTGCTTTTACCTGCTGCTGGCATGAAAACCCAAGAGTCGCTGCCTCTGCCTCTGTTGTCTCTGCTTCTTGTGCTTGCGCCTCTGCTTCTTCGTTTACATGTTTACCCTCGCCGTTGTTTGGCTCGCTTTGTTTCGCTGCTTCGCTTTCGTCATTAGAATTTACATTTACGCTTTTCTGAGAATGGCAACTGGTCAACGCGAGGGTTGCCGCCGTTTGCGCCGCCCCCTGCTTCTGCCCGCTGTGTGCATTACCTGAACACCCTTCGTTGAGCATTTGATTGCTGCACTCGCTTGGCTTCTGTGCTGTGTGGGCGGCAGCCGCAGCAGTGCTGTGCAGATGATCCTCATTGATTTCGGCCACGCCGCGTCGCAGTCGCTGCAATTTCAGCTCCAACTGGGAGTTCTGCTTGTGCAGCGCCAGCAAACGATTCACATCGTTGGAAATGCTATGCAGCTCATCGCAGGCAGCCAGGACGGCGCTTAATTCGAATGGCTGCTCAATGTTGCGCTCTGATTGCTCCTGTTGTTGCTGCGGCTCCTGCTCCTCCTCGACGTCTGGCAGTGCACGCATCCCATGCAAGACAACGCCGCCGGCATTGGCGTCGTCGTCGGTGCAGCCGCCCACAACAACTATGCAGTTGGCAAGCTCATCGCTTGAGTTGGCAATGCGGCGTTCACTTTCATCATCATCATCATCGTCGTCGCTGGCATCACGTGCTGCTGCTGCCGCAGCAACTGGCAGCTGCTCCTCCTCTGGGGGAACCGCCTCCTCCTCAACCAACGCCTTCACATAGTTAAGCACAATGCCGCAATCGGTGCGCTCTGTGTCCGTATCGTTATCGGACGAATCTTCAAGATTCGCATCCGAGGAGGACAACGAATCACCCTCGGTGGATGAGCTGCGTCTGGCACGTGCGGCATGGCCCACCTGTCGATTGACCACGAACACCTTGTTAAAACGCCTGCGCTTGGGCCGCCGATCTGCCACGGTGCCGGTGTCATCTGAGTCACACGACTCGGAGCTTGAGCTGCTGTCGCTGCTGGAATCACTGCTGCTGCTACTGCCCTCGGTGGTGCTGTGGTGCACCATTTGCATGGGCACTGCAGCCGCTTGTGGCTCCAGCTGCTGCTCTTCCTCCACCTCTGCCTGCATGGCCAAAGCAACATCATAGCTGCGCTCAACCAATTTGCGTGGGCTGCGCTCATCTTCAGCTTCGGCATCACTGTTGCTGCTGCTGTTGCTGTTGCTGCTGTTGGCGGCGTAGCTTTCGCTGCGCAAATAGCCAAATGCCGCCGACTCACTTGGCTCGGTCTCGGACATATTTGTGGGCTTTGTGTCTATAAACCTATGCGAGGACAACACTGAGCAGCTGCTCAAATTCTTTGCTAGTTGCGACTCTAGTGGTTGCTGCTGCAATTGTTGCTCTCTAGGCGCAACGGCGGCAACAATCTCAACATTTTCGACTGCAACTTGCCCGTCGCTGAAACGAGTTATTACCGCAGGAGTTGCCGCACTCAATGTGGCTCCGGTTGCTGTAGTTGTTGTTGTTGCTGGTACTTGATTTTTATGTATATTTGTTTCGTCTGCTGCCTCCGCTGCTTCGTCGTCACCGTCCCCGTCGCCGTCGTCGGCGTTGTGGTTGTTACTCGCCAGGTAGGTTTGTCTTTCTGTTTCTGTGTTTTCTGTTAGTGTTTGCGTTTGTGTGTCTGGTGCTTGTGCTGCTGTTGTTGCTGTTGTTGCTGTTGTTGCTGCTGCTGCTGTCGCTGGTCTGTTATTTTGCACAGTTTCGCATAGATTTTGGCATTTATTTGGCAGCTCGACTGTCAATGTTGCTGCTGGCATTGCCTCGCTTTTATCAACATCAACATGTGCGCTAAATTTAACGCTGTTGCTGGCGTCGCATTCGCAGTCGAAATCGTTGCTTCTTTTATCATTCGCATTACACAATCTCAGTGCTGTTGTGGGCGTTGCGGCGACGTCAACATCGGCATCGACATCAGCATCGGCACAGAGCGAGCGTCGCGTTTGTTGTTGTTCACTCGACGGCGTGCGCGGCAATACTAAACCTAAACTTGTTGGAGCTGGCTTGAAATCCATTTGGCTGGCCAGTGGCTGTTGTTGTTGTTGTTGCTGTTGCTGTTGCTGTTGCTGTTGCTGTTGTTGCTGTTTCTGCTGCTGGTGATGTTGTTGTTGTGCCAGACACAGACAGCCGGCTAATGTTTCCAGGCTACGACCTGCTGTGCCGTAGCCGGACGTTGTTGATGAAGACGTGGACGCAGTGGAGCAGAGCGACTGCGTCATCAGCGAGCCCAGCGAGGCGCTCAGCTCCGGCGCCGAGGACTTGAAGCCACCACCCAATTGACGTGTTGTTGTTGGCAATTGCTGATAGCTCTTGGTTGTTGCCGGCGGTGTTGCATCAAACATGTTGCTCGCCGCGGCGAATTGCTGCGAGTAAGCGACCATGGCCGCTGCAGCGGCAGCTGCGGCTGCTGCCTGCTGTTGCTGTTGTTGTTGCTGCTGCTGCTGTTGTTGTTGCGGCGAGTTTGGTGTGGAGGAGGCGGCTGCTGCCGCCTGCCACAGCTGCTGCAGTGAGGCAGCCAAGTGCTCGTCCTGCTCCAGCAGCGGTGCACCCGAATGCTCCAGCTGCCAGTTATGATAGGCGGCCATTGGCACGGGTATGGGCACCGGCACGGGTATGGGCACATATTGGGGCTGTTGGGCGGCTGTGGCTCCACTGCAGCCGCTACATCTGCTGGGCGCGTGGCTGTGGTGGTGGTGCTGGTAGTGGTGGTGGCTCTTGAGGAAGCGCGTCTTGATGCGCGCCTTCATGCTGAGCGGCAGTGAAGGTGTCGGTGGGGTGTGATTCTGATCGGAGCTGGTCTGGGAGCTGCTCTCGGCCTGCATGTGCAACTCCTCGTCGGTGCCAGTGTCGCTCTCGCGTATCTTGGAGCAGTAGCTACGTAGCAGCTGCTGCCTACGCTGCAGCAGGGGTGAATCGCTGTCGCTGGAGCGACGGCGTAGACGAGGCGGTGGCGTAGGCGTTGTAGACGTCATAGAGCCGGCGTAAGCAATCATTGTGGTCGTTGTTGTTGTGGTGGCTGCAATCATCGATGGTTCAAAGTAATCCCAGTCGCAGTCCTCCACATTGCTCACAATGCTGTGACATTGGTGTGTGGATGTGCAGGAGGAACTCGATGCTGTATCCGTATCGTTGTCGTCCTCCTCCTCCTCTTCCTCCTCCTTGCATGACGATGACGAGTCCGAGTTTAGAAATACAAGCTTGAACTCATCCGCTTCGACACTGTACTGCGACTGAGCCGACGTACCCGCGGTGCTGCACCTGAACTCCAACTCCGACGACGACGAGGTTTCCATGGCATCGCCGTTGCTGTCACCGGAAGCGCCAGCTGCCAGCTGCGAGCCTGTGAATTAATAGGGTGGGTTTTTTGGTTGTTTCTTTCGATTTTCGACGCAATGGGTTCGACGTTGACCAACACCACAAAATGACAATGGAAAATACTGGTTTGATACAGGTGAAATACGGGTTTTTTGTTAGCATGTTTAATGGTTTTTAGCACGGGTAACTAATGCACCATCACCACCACCAACACCACCATAGACATTAGTATGGGTTAAGTGGTTGGTAGACTATGTTTTATATTAGGTTAGACTATATTCAGGTTCTTGTTATATACTTCAACGTATTTAAATACTTTACGCTTAACACCATTAGATACTAATACAGATACTTATAAATATTTTTACAGTTTGTATATTAAAGTATAGTATGGAGTGTATTCACATGTTTTTCCGTTTTCAGCCCATTTACGGTCAATTAGTTTTTGCTTCAAGTTTTCGTTGAATATGGGGTATATTAGGAAATAATGATTGCTCAACGGAAAGAGTATCAAATTACTAAGAAAGCAGCGCAAGACACTTCTGTTTAACGCTTCATCACCAGCCGGAGCTGATGATTGATTGTCTAATCGTGTGTGTATTAAAGCCAACCCCTCTTATTTAATGGCGCCTATTTCGCACCTAAGCCAATATTTATAATAATCTTAAGGAAATGCCTTTCATATTTGACTTTTCCTTTTCGCCATTTCACATAGTGTGCCAAGTGCCTTTGTTTGTCTTCGACTTTCTATAGCCGAGGCAGCTGAAACATGCCCATAAGTATTTGCGTTGCGTTCTCATCTTTAATACTCGAGCCGAGAAATATCTATCGTAGATTTGGCAAAATGCTTTTAAGGCATCTTCCTCTAGCTCGTACGATGGCTTTATTGTGTTTGCGCAAACAATACGTTGGGAAATGCATGCATGTTGCACAAGCCTGTGGCAGAAACAAAGCAAATATTTGGGCAACGTTCGCTTTGCCTTGTTTTGAAAAGTGGTTTCCCCTCGTTCGCATACTGTGTGCCTATCGCAACTCACAGACACCTACACACAGGTGAACGCAATAAGATTAACGGTACACTTTTGACAGCTAGCCCCAAGAATGGGCATAGCCCGTGTTCACTACGAAACCGTGAGCCACAATATCCTGATTGTAGTTCTCGAATAAATTCGAGAACGTTGTGGCGACGACCCGTGAATCGCAAACAAACAGCAAATTAAAACAAAACAAAGGTCGCCAAAAGCGTTGCGGCAAAAAAAAAAGCTTCTATTGTTCAAAAATACACACACACGCGTGTATGTGTTTTTTAGTTGTGGGCGATTTATGAATTCGCTGCCATTTTCAGGTCCTCAATGTTACACTCAAAAAAATTATAACACAATTATGTTATGTAGAAATTCAAAGAAAATTGATCACTCAAATTAGTCAGAAGATTAAGTAATTTGTATTTTAGCTTTGGTAATAAGTTCATAATTTGAAAATTTAATATTTGCTTAAAAAAATCTATTACAATTTATTGCAATTAACATTTTTGTAATAGAGTTATTTTCTTTGTAATAAATTGATATTTTTGCATTTTTATACAAACTTAAATTTGAAATATATATTATAATATTATATGAAGCTTAAACTTGAAATATTTCTTTAATGTGAGATGACGAAAATCTAAACTAATTTACGAAAAGCAAAACCTATACAAAGCCATAAAAACTTGAGAACCATACCTGGCACTCATCAAATCATAGCTGCTATATCATTCCCATCATTAAGTGAAACAAAAATTTCGCAACTGCACGAATCGAATCACTCTAAAATATGATTGCAAACTAGAAAATATTCGTACTAAAAATAACATTGCCATAATGGATACATCCTAGAAACATTTGTGAATACTATTCAATTTCTTTAAAAAAAAAAACATAGCATACTTTTAGGCGGCTTCGAAAATAGTTCCGCGAAAATTATTTGGAGCTCCTCTGTATTACACTTAAAAACATTTTCTATGTTTAGCCATATCAAAATATAGCACATCAGCGAACATTCCAAGAGCACTGTTATCCTACAGTGCGTTGTAAATATTTCCAACTTAAATTGTATTTTTTTTGCAAAAGCTGAAAAATTCTTATATATAATTACAGCCAACTACTTAAGAGCACGCATAAAGCCAATGAGCGGGTAAAAGTGAGTGATAAAGGCAATAATGACCCACATCAAGTGCAGGTCTTCCCCATAGCCGCCCACCGCGCCACGTAATTAATTTGTGCGTAAAATTAGACGTAAAGTGAAACCCGGCGAAAACTTGGGTTAGACACAGGTCACCAGCACCGAGCAAATTATGCAACACACACACATACACATCCAGACACACGAACTACATAATTTAATAATAGTTACTGGAGAAGCTGGTCATTAGCACTCACCTTCTTCGGCGGCCTTCTCCTTTTCCTTCTCCTTGCGCCGCTGCAGCACAACCTTCTTAAAGACAACGGCTGCTGCTTCCACTGCATTCTGAAGCTCCTGCTCACCCAAGGTGCTGGTGTGCTGGAAGGGGTTTTAAACATCAATTGTAGCTCTGAGTAGGGGGACAATGGCTGGTTTGGGGCACACTTACTGCTGCGGCACCTGCTGTGTCATTGGCCTCATTGTTGGCAGCGCTGGGGTCTGTCTCAGTCGCCTTGGCTACGGCCAGTTCATCCTCCTTGGCTGGGACTGTGTTAACGGGAATTGTCGTTTTTTTCATGCGATTGGATAAGTCAGAGTTCTGGTGCTTAAGCAGTTCATGGAAGGAGTAGTGATGCTGTGGTACTCTACCTATATAATGGTTAATGTGACAACAGGGAGGGGAGGGTGCACAAATTTAATAAATCGGGTGATTGCAACTAACTACAGCTAACAAGCTACAGGTTTCTACTGCTGTGCGGGTGCACAAAGCAACTACTAGAAATCGTTAGCTTCCACTTACCCTCCTCGCCGCGGCTGTTGCGACGACGGGCCTGCGGTATCTTTGTGGCGCCACCGCGCGTCTTGTCCAGTATATCGGCCAGGGGTCGCGGACTCGGTATTTTTGAGGCTTCCGTTTTCTTTGGTGGCTGCAAAAAGTTGAAGTTAATTAGTGCGCTAATTCCACAAAGGCAAAGTTAATCCTCCTACCGTTGAGTCCTTTTCGGGATGAGAAAAGGAGCGCCGCGTAACGGGCTTGGGCGCCGTTTTGGCGCCTGAATCCTCTGACACGGAACGCATCTGCTCTGGCTTTCGACGATCTGTATTGGTCTCCGTTGCGGACACTAGGGCACCCACTGCGGCACTCGTGATAGTTGGGGCTGCAGAAACAGCTGCTGCAGCTGCCGTTCCTTCGGATAGTCCCGCTGCGTATTCCTCCTGGGGCTGTGGCAACTCCCTCGACTGTCGCCGTCGCATGCGATTGTGCATGAGTGGAGTGCGTGGCAGCACTGCACCGCTGTGCGTCGCATGAATGTCGGCATAAAAGCCGGGCATGGGAGCTCCAGCACCGTAACCACCATCTCCGCCGGTGACCACATTCTCGGAACCGTATATAGGCCGCGGTAGCGTTGGCTTGTAGGCGGCATCATCGGTTCCATCGTTGTAGATGATGCGCGGCTCGCTGCTGAAGCCTGCATTGTAGTTCTTCTCGTACTGCACCTCATCGGACTCCAGGAAGCTGGTGGTGCTGTTGCCAAAATAGTCCACGTACTCCGGCCGGGTTTCCAGTTCCTCGCTGACATCGGGAAACTGACAGAACTGTTGCTTAGCTTCGCCAAAGGTGCGTGAGCCGTGATCCTGCTCCTTAAGGCAGTCTTGCCGCACCAGACGACTGGGCGAGCGACTCTGTGAGCGTTGCGTCGTGGGTATTTCCGGCAGCAAGCGACGACTCTCCACATGGGACTTGGTGCTGTTCGAGTACTCCTCGTTGCTGTGGCTGCGCACCTTGATCATCTTGGAGTGCGGATCACGTGAATGGTGTATATTGACGCTCTGGCTGCTCGAGTACTGCTCGCCCGCGGCGCTAGCCACGCTGCCGCCGCTGCCGAGGTCAACCCCGCCCACAGTGGGCACGTTCTGCTGTGAGAGAAACTGGCGAGGATTCTGCACGCTGGGAAACAGAAAGTTCTGTTTGGCTCTCGGCGAGATGGGCATAAATTTAGCCGGTGGCGTCTGGTGCACTGTGAGCGTGTTGCCGCTGTTGAACGCTTCCGGATTTGGCAGCGTCTGTTGCCGCGTGAATTCCGGCGAACGTCGGAACTGCGGCGACGTCTGGCGCTTGGGTGGCGATGTGGGCAGCAGCTTGACATGCTGATCGGGATTGGGCAATGTGGCCTGGCGCATCATGCGCGGCTTACCAAATGTCTGGCTGTAGTCCATCTCATCGCTGGCCATGCTAGATGCCTGCGACTCGTAGTTCAGTGGTGGCGCAGCTGCCGCTGTGACGACCGATGAGGACTGGTTGGTCGGAGCTGCCAGATTGGCCGTGTTGGGCAGCAGCTTGGTGCGATGATAATTGCTGCTTGGCGGCTCCGGGAATGATGTCTGCCGTGTGAAGGGCGGATAACGCTGCTCGCCTGGCGAGCGTTCCGGCGATCGGCTGTAGACTCGATTCGGTGAGGTGGACATGTATATGCTGGGCGGCGGCTGGCATGGATTCGCTGGCAGCGTCGACTGACGGCGCACCTGCAGTCGGTGGCTGTGCGTGGGTGGACTCGCAGCAACCTCCAGTTGCGGCTGCTGCTGCTGTATCTGGATCTGACTGTAATTATCGCAGTCGGGTGCGATGTTCATGTGGATGATGTCGTCGCTGTTGTAGGCGCTCGGATAGAGCGGACTTTTCTGCAGCTGATGTGGCGAGGTGGGCGCGGTCAAATTGGCCGAGTTGTAATTAGCCAAATTGGCACCGCTGCCGCTTAGATTCGGATCGTTATTCAATGTGCTGGGTAGTGTGGATTGACGTAAGACTCGACGCCCCAACTGCCACTTGCTGCCAGTGATGGGCGTGGCACTGCCGCTATTATAATTGATGATGTGTGCCTGGCGTGGCTGCGGGGGCGCCTGATGCTGATGTTGTTGCTGCTGCAGTGGCAGTTGCTGCTGATGCTGTTGCTGCATCTGCTGATGCAGCGTGTGCTGATGCAATGTGGGATAGCTGCCCGCCGATTTGGCCTCAATTAAATGCTGTTGCTGTGGATATAAATTGTCGGTGACAGGCTGCTGGGCATTCGGATTATTCGGATCGTCCTCGGGATCTGTAAGTGGGCATAGTTCACAAATAAGTAGCAGCCAATTGAGCTTAATGCAGTTAACTTACTTGAGATGGTCCAAGAACGACGTATGCTTTTCCGTAGCACGTCGCTGGTGCTGAGATGATCGACAGCCTCGCAGGACGCGTAGGCTTCCTTCAGCCACTCACCGCTGGCAGCTTGTAACTCCCTGCAAGAGCAACAACAAGACCAATTCCATTTAAGAAACCAAAATACATCCGTTAACATCGCACAATGTTTATACGTCTGCCTGTGTCAGCCACAGCCAACAAACTGACTGAGTGTCTGGCAAAAGCAAGAACAAAAGTTGCTAAAATAAAACAACTGCGAGTCAAAAAAGAGTGCCTGACTTTTAGATACCCTAGCTCAGTTTTATGTTTATTTACAATGTGTGGTGCATGAAGAATAGGAGAATTGTCATATAACATTTGGTGTGTGGTCCGTAGGCTTCTATCGAATTGGGGCAGAAAGACGATCCAAACAACCAACTAAATTAGTATACCTCTAATTGTATTTACTTTAAATGAGTACAGGGTATAATACTGAACAAGACACCAACATGACGCAACACTGTAATGACTATACAAGGCGGGTGGCTGCTCCGCTGAGGGCGCAGTCACTCGGAGACTGTCAGGCAAACGCCTGACTTTATGAACAAATTCCAATCAAAGACGCAGCCACTGACAAAGTTATCAATATATATAGATATATATATGTATATATAAAGTACGTGTATAGTAAAGCATGCGATATGTGTGCCTGGGCAACGCCTTCGTCAAAGCAAATGGGGGCGTGGTGCACATCTCGACACACAGCAGCTGCAATTGCTGGCTGCGTTGACAGCTGGCTGCCATTTGGGAGGCGTCAATCTGGCTGACACCTGTGGGCGTTGCCAGCATCTTGGCGAATTCTCAGCATGGAGCAGAGCTCCAAAAATTTACATACTAGTTGCCCTGCAGCTGCTGCTGCTGCTGCTCTTACTGCGTTGGCCAACATTTAATTAGTTCAGAGTCTTGCGTCTGGCCTTGTTTATTCTGCTGTTGTTTTAACGACTTTTTCGGGGCTTGGCAATTAACACTGAACTTTGGGAGCGTGTGGGTCGTTCGCCAGCATCATCACCAACTCGCACAGACTTCAACACTTATTTCTACATTACAATTTTTTGTAGTTTACAAGTGTTGAACTCTATGCAACAGGGCGTATGTGTAATATTTGTTTATTTATTTTTTTTTGCAAAACTTTATTAAAGCTATCCGAAACTAATCATCATTTAATGTCGCCCACAATTTATAATTTTAAATATTTGTTGGTCTTGAATATAATAAATTAATTATATCGCCCCCAAGGCACTTCAGTTCATAAATATTTTTTTTTAGAAATTGTCAATGTCAACAAATGTCTGCTTGATAAAATTCATATTTCAACGCAAGCAAAAAGAGAAGCATTATTTTATTTACAGCTAATTTAGCTGACGGGCTCATTGTTTTCATTTAATTAATTTCAATTAACAAATTACTTTTACAATTTACAAAAGTAAATAAAAAAACCTATTCGAAATGCTTATACCTTACAGTATATTTCCCCACAGTATATTTCCCCTTCTTTTCTAAATGAGATAATAAAATTTTATTTTCTTTTAATAGATGAATCAAGTAAAGCTTTAAAGACTAAGCAACACAATTTTATTTGTGAACCCTTTTCAGCATTTTGAGTTTTGTTTGACATTTTACTATGGATGGGCTTACACTAGAGAAACGCTTACAAATTGTTGAAATTTTGATCAAAATAATTCGTCCCCTTTATGGCGTACATAATGATGAAGCCTATTTTTAGTTGAATGGCTACGTAAATAAACAGAATTGTCACATTTGGAGTAAGGATAATCCATAAGCTTTTGTCGAAGTAGAAAATTTCTATTTGGTGCTGAGGGCTGTCTTCAAAAACAATGACTGTCATAATGATGATAATTAAATATTAATGGCATAAGATTTGCATTTATTAATATTATTATTTAATATATCAAATTTTATGGCTATTGGAAATATATTTTCTTATTTTATTATCACTTAAAGTTGGAACTCTAAAAAACTCTAAAAAATACAACTTGTATTTGAGTCTATGAAGCACTTCATATGATTTGACAGTTTCTGGCAATTCTTTGATAACAACTTAAGACTTCTGTTTTTTATGCAACAGTTTTTCCTGAATATTGACCTTGAATTAAGGATTATTCTGTAATGCTTATCTGACGAGCTTAAGCATTTTCGTTTGCTTACGAGGCTGTCAAGGCAAAAAATGAAACCGAAAATGCAACTAAGAAAAGTGCTTTTGTTGCAGCAGATGACAGTTGCAACATTGCTGCAGCAATGCAAGCAAATGAAAATTGAAAATCAAATGTTGTTGTGAGCCCTACGCAGAACAAAGGCATTCTAAATGTCGCATTTGATTACAAAGTGATCAAAAATGCAATGCAATCGAAACGTATAAAATGAAAGCGAATGAAAGCAATTCGCAAACCCTCTCACAAACAAAAACACACGTAGATTTCGAGCTGCAACAAGAGCAGCCAAAAATACAGCTGAACTATCACAAAATGTCGCCTCATAAATTATGCATCGCATCAGCTGTCAGTTGGGCTATCGGTGAACCTTTTGGGTAACTTGGGTGTCCGCATGCAAAGCCATTTTATGGAATTTTGTCTCTGTACGCATCGTGTGACAGTTTCAGAATGAACCGCACACAATTCGATTGCAACAATGAAACTTCACAGTTAGCTTCACGTATTTACAGTGAAAGCAAAAAGGGAACTTGTCAGAATATCCCAGAGTAGATATGTTTGACAGTGTATACCCTGTCAAGGGTATTTGGCAAGCCAATAGGCCTCAGAGCCAGTGCTAAATTTCGATATATATATTTTATATATATATTACATAATATTTTTGCTTATGAAAGCGTAACTAATATAACTGAAAACAACATTAATATTTAAAATATATATATATTTTATACATATATACATTTTTATATAAAATTTATATAACTCGATATTTGGTATGCCAATAGCCATCAAAGAAAATGCTAAATTTTATATCATAATTTTTATATATTAAATATTATTTTTGCTTATTTAAACATAACTCATATAACTGAAAACAACATAAATATTAAAAAAATATATATTTTATATAAATGTACATATTTTATATAAATAATTTAGCATAGCATAGTTTTCAGGAGTCATATATATATAAGGCAAAAACAACCTCAAATTATCTAAGCTAAGAGATGAACTCCTAGGACCAACAGACAGACAGACACAAACACACAGACATATACTAATGTATACACACACAGATACCACATATATAGAATATTGTTAGTTAGTGTGCGTGTGTGGAACATAGAGTTTAGAGTATTTAGTTTAGATGAGTGTGGGATATAGATAGATAAGCATAAGGAGAGGCAAATGGAGAGGAAGGGAGAGAGTAAGGGGTAGTAAGAGAAAGAGCAAGAGAGTGAGTGAGAGAGAGAGAGAGAGAGACTTACAGTTGCTTGTGGCACACAACGCACACCCAGTCCAATGCGTGATGGACTCGACAGGCTTTGCACACGCGCAGCTTGCAGACGCGACAGGGAGCGCCGCGGTTGGTGATGCGGCCCAGTTCGATGGTGCAGCGGGCACAGTGGCGACTCGAGTCGTTGTGTAGATTTTTGTGGTTGTTGTGTTCAAGCTGTTGTTGTTGTTCTAGCATTGTTTGCTGTTGTTGGTGAGGGTCTATTTCTTGTTGTTGTTGTTGTTGTGTGGCATCGAGTGGCATTGGCTGTGACTGCGCTCCTGCTCCACCAACGACCTTGCATCTCAGCGCATACAATTCAGCGCGCAAGAGCCTGTTGTTGTTGTTTTAGTTGGCGGTGTTCATAATGATGGTGTTGTTGTTGTTGTTGTTGTTAATGGTATGTTCGGGTTTGTGGTAATGTTTGTTGTTGTAATTGTGGTTTGGTTGCGGGCCACGGAACGGGACATAACAAAATTACGCACAGACGTTATTTTAGTTAAAATGTTAGTTAAAAGTTAGTTGGAGTATTAAAAACACATTACATAATGGGTTAAATAACATTTTGTCACAAGTGGTTGCGGTGGTGGTGGTGGTAGTGGTGGTTAAATAGAGCGAGCGACAGAGCAATAGCAAAAAGTTGACAGCACATATGTTGTTTATATATATGTGGGTTTGTGTGGGTGTGTGAGTGTGTGGGTGAGTGGGTGTGTGATTGTTGTGTGTGAGCATGAAAACAACAGCACAAAAGTGGTTATTGATGAAAAGAGACAAAGAAAAAAGAACACACAAATAGTTTGTTATTAGTCGATAAAAATGCAAAAGTTTTTTATCAAATTTTTAAACAGTTTCCAATGCAACAAATTATGAGTATTAAGTATTTAGACACAATTGACAATTTGGATAAACGAAATGACGCAATTTAGCAAATGGTTTACTGTTGTGCTGTGCTGGTTTGGTCAGGCGTATAAATGTGTATTACAATTGTACCAAATTCCACTCGATGAGCCGAAATGCAAATGCCGATTTAATGTCCATGAAATTAATTTAAGTGCTAAATGAGTTGAGTATTGAATTAGATACAGTTTAATGGATTCGTCATATTTCTTTGAGTATCTTTCTATATATAAATCTATAAAATTCTACTAATATATGAACTATAGTCTAGTTTTTACTACAAATGTTCTTATAATATAAATATTTTATATAAATCCTTTCCATGGCAGAAAACATATTTGAAAGGAAGCTACGTAGAGAACTAAGTTTGGATTGTGGACTTCATTAACAGCAGCAGCAACAGTAAATGAGGAACAGTCATGTGTTAAACAGTCATGTGCCTAGAGACAAGATAAAGTTAGCAGCTAAATCCTTGCTAAAGCAAATAGTAATGTTTAAATTTATTTAAATAAAAGTTGAGTTTAATAGCAAAACAAAACAATAGACCTGCCGAGGGTAGCAATATACATGTAGACTATTAAAAAGAAAAAATGGAAATGAAAACAAAAGTTATTTAATCCCGTGGCCAAATGCCAGCTGCAGGTAGTTTCCAGGCTAAAACCCATCTTAAGTATGTAGGCGTAGGCGTCGTAGGCGACGCAATACGAAGGACTCGTTCGACATGCAAAACCAAACCAAACCAAAATCTTGTATTAACTTTATAGCAAAGGCATAAAACACACAAGGGGGAGAAAGAGTTAGAGAGGAGAGGTTGAGAGCGTTAGAGTTGGAGCACAGCCACAGCATATGTGGTATATTGTTAATACATGTATCAGCGTAGCAGTCACGCAGTGGGCATAAAAAGCCAAACAGCACTTTCTGCCCTTGTGCAAATTATGCAGCAACACATACCGGCAACAGCAGCAACACACATCAGCAGCAACAATTTTTAATTATATTTTTTATCTGCATTCAAGCGCTGGCACTGGCACTGGGCGCGTGTATTTTATTAGTACTACAAAATCAACAAACGTCAAGCAGCCAGAACCACAAAAATGTACACGCACACACACACACACACATATATATAACATACACACATATATGTATAAATATACAGGCGCACGCTCCCGCAAGTCCCAGTCGAGTGGCTTTTGCTGAGTTAAAGCATGTTGCATGCTTCTAGGGGCAATCATAGTGCGCACACCTGCCCTAACCACAGACACACACCCCCACACACACTCGCACACATATACCCAGACACAAACACACAGCTGGCGCCTACATTCTGCGGCTCTTTTGGCATGTTTTATTGGGGGGAGTGGGGTCAACAGACGACGTCATGCTGTATGCCACACAGCTGCTGCTGCTGCTAATGTTGAACTTTAGGCTAGCTTGTCGCCTGCAATAGTTGAGTATCGTTGTAATTGCCGTCGCGCTATGAATTAATAATCATAATAAGCCATTAAGCCGGCTCCTTTTAGCCAACAAACATCAAACAATGGCCGTCCAAAGAGTGCTAAGCTTAATAGTCATAAATTTTCACCCGGCTTGATGTGCGGGCTGGGTCGGTCACGCGTTTATTATATTTTATTTTTTGAATAACCAAATATATGAGTGTTTTTAGCTCCTGAGCCGAGCCTAAATAAATAGCTGAACGCATGTTTTTGATTGTACGCCCTGGGCTAAGCAAACAACCAAACTAATTAAGCCGATGCTTATCAGTTGCCCTTGACTCTGCAACAGTTAGGCCAATCGAACACCTGTGCGGCAACCACAACCACAAGCAGCAGTAGCAGCAGCAACAAGCATTAAATTGTTGCACGCTTTGATGTTGTGCGTTTCCAGTTCATGCTAATTAAAGTTGAAAATTGGGTACCCAATGGAATTTGTTGGCTAATGCAAGCTAAACTAAGTTAAATTCGCTGCGTATTCATTCATGAAATTCTGAAGTTGCTCTGTAATCTTCAGCTATAGACAGCTTCATCTTCTGTATTAAATCGGCTTAGATACCTTCAACATTTCACATTTATAGTTGGCATCATTTAATCAGCTTATACTTTGCAATCGCAACAAATACCCATCAGCTGGATAATATAAGAACAATCCTTTTCTCGAAGAGTTAGAGGGAAATGGAAAACAAAACAACTCGGCAAGGAAGCTTATTAAATCTAATTGAATTAAGCTGCTCAAATTCATTTAAGCTTAAACTTGATCCTGTGTGTCTTTTGTTTTAGTATTTAGTATTTAGCTTGGACTGACCTATGCTTAAGCATTCCTTTCATACCAAACGGATCAACAGAATTACGTTAATATTTAAAACATTTCCTGCCAGTAGACAAGCTGTCAACAGCCACCAAAAATTTAAGAAAAGAAAATCTTGAGCGCAAAAAAATAAAAATAAAAGAAAAACGACCATAATTCAAGCAATATATATACAGCTGCAGTTGCCAGCTGCTTGTCCATTAGATTTATGATTTTAATGATGCCAAGCAGAGCTGTTAGCCGGCGCTGCCGTAGTGTTGAAATGTGCCCTGTGCAGGGCGTCTACAGATAAATAATTACCATGCTAAATATGATTTGTCGAGGGCCGTCCGTGGCACGTTGTCCGGAAGCTGTGGCAAGGACAAAGCTTAGAATATTTGAGAATAATTTCCAACTAAAATGGAATATGAGTTGAATTAAACACCCTGCATAAATAATAAACTCGCTTGCAACAGCAACAGATGATGGGAGGCAAAGGACGTCAATCTTAGCTAATCATCTTATAAGTATTTAATATATTTTCTATATATAGAGCAATTTGATACCACTTCCTATCGATGCTATTTGTAGAGCAACTGACAGTCGAGTGGAACACTCTGCTATACTTTATTTGTTTCGCTGGATCGTCACCATTCTAACAGCTGCTGTGACAGCGCATTGGTTTCAAGGGTCTCCCGTTTCTTTCCGTTTTAGATAAAAACTTTTACAAAGGCTGCGTTGCCATAGCTCGCACTGATAATTGTGTTGCTTTGGCTCTTTAATTTAAGTTTAGCTACAGTTGGTGGTTGGCACACCGGAAGCGGCCAACAGGACGGTGGCCCCCAGTTTGCACACATCAAATACATTATTAGTTTTAATTAATTTAAAATTTGCAAACGGCCGGGCAAAGAGCCCTTTTAGCAGCCGAGTTGCTGTGCAGTTTCGCATGTTTGTCAAGCGACAAAAACAAGAATCACTTTCCGGTGCATGCTTATGGAGTGCGAGCCAAATTAAATTAAATATAAACTTTTGTCAAGAGCAACAATAAACAACCTAAACACACATTTACTCCTGCGAGTTTGTGTGTGTGTGTGTCTTGCGCCTTGTTGGCCACAATCAAACTTCGATTTGACAATGATAAACGCTGGGAGCAACTTGACAAGGGTTGCTGCTGCTGCGGCTGTGGCTGCTCGGACATTTGCATAATTATTACCAACTGCTCGACTCGCCATTTGGTGCCTGCCACAAGGGATTGGCGTTGTCCTTCGGGCTCCGCATATGCAAAGCTTCCCATTAATTTTGACGTTTTGCGTAAATGAATATCGCTGGTATTTAGTTTATGCTGCCTGGCAACTATTAGCTTAGCTTATGACTGCCGTGCCTAATTGTTGCCAATGTGTCATGTAGCATGTGGCTTGTGGCATGTGAAGCCTAACTGGCTTGTGTAACACATTTGAAGGCAAAGCAAGAGATAATTGTATATTATTAGGCAAAGCGTATGAATGTGTGGAACTATTTGAATCTCAACTGTAGCTGTTATTATTATAATTATAATTGAACCACATCCGGTCAATCGATACCCAGGAATTAATTACAATTCTACTCTTTTATTTTGCCAGCAACGATCATGGCCAAAGCTCTGCTTGATGGGATTGAATTTAGCAGAGTTCTTGTTTTTCCATTGTATTTTGAGCTGGAGTGCGGCACCCGCGGCGTATGCGTAATATGCATGAGCTCTGTTACGCATACGCCAGGTGTGCCACACAGAGTCTGATGCATAGCAATCGGCTGACTGTTGCACAGATACATGCATAATATAGCCACAATTTGACATACTTTCAAAAACAACAACTCGAACGCATAAAACCCAAATTGACTCTCAACTGGTGGGCATAAATATTTTTGTGGGCACAGCGTAAAATGGCGAAGATTGCCATTTGCACATTGTTTCACGTACCTTCAGCTGAAAGAGATGGCAATGAAATATGAGTCCCATATACAGATAATAAAGTAACAGAGACAGCTGCCGCATGTTCAACACAACAGCAGATATACGCGACAATGGGGAGCCTGGTTCCTGGTGCCTGCTGCCTTATGTTTGCTGCTTGCCACAAGGTGGTTACATTTCTCACAATTCTGACACTTGCCAAAGCG